CATCTACATTCTAGGCAAACAGTGGCAGCGCCCATAGATTATTGCAGCCTACATGGGAACCACTGGAGCTAGGGAGGGCTTAGAGTTTAGGGAAGTGGGAGTAGCACAACAATTGAAGGAAATCCCAGCATACTGTATACTTGATAGTGTGCACTGCATACTTTTTTTTGGACAGTGAGTTTTCTTGGTGGGTTTGCCTATCATAACCTTATTGTAACACTTGCAAGACACTTGGAAACAAAATGGTTATTGTGCGCAACAGAGTGTTGTGTTTCTATTTATGTAAGCTCTATCACCCTAGTCCCTATCGCTATCCCTTACAATACACCCTTACAGAACTTTATAGAACAGGAAAAAGGCTCTCGATCTAAAAGTCACATAGTTGCCATACATGTAAATCACCATATTTGAATAATGGAGCCAAGAGGCCATTGTTCAACAGGAATATTGATTGTTCATTGATCAGGAGGAAATGATGTCAGAGGAAGCAGCCTTGTTTCCCAGAGTTCTGTCCCACACAGATAAGCAAAGCACCAGCTAATTTTTTTTAACTAGAGAGAGGGGCAGGAAGCATGACAGCAAAGCTTCCGCTATTGCAAACAAAACAGACAGGGAAAAAATGGACCAAGCAGGCAGTCTGTCTTGGAAAGAGTTCAGTTCAGTGTGTTGCAGGGTTCAAATACTTTTATTTTCTGTATTATAATGGCATTCAATGAGACAAATCAATTTCTGGATATACTACAATCATTTAACATTGGTAAGAATTTTAAGCCTGCCTTATTAGTACATGTGTATTTTTTTAATTAAGGAAATCTCTATGCTACCTGCATTAGTCTTCTGTGTAGGATGCATTTCACAGTACAACCTCATGTTATTATGGTCTTATAATACATATATTTATATAATACATCAGTCTGGAATCGTTAGTCAGGTGAAAGGTTGATGCTTAAAGTTATTGTCTGAGTTTAACCGATAGTCCATGAAGTGATATGAGACCCTCTTTGACTAGTCAATTTACTACTCAGTTTGTCATTGCAATTGTGGACTATGGAAGCAATCATTTGCAATTTGTCAAGGAACGTATACTAGCATTTTGAATCTGATAACTCAGTTATACAACAAGTGAGTTCCTTGCCTCTCCTTTTTGATCAACCCCAGCAGGCAAAACTGGTTGCAATGATGTCATTTTAGCCAGTTTTGCCCACTATCCCAGCACACATCCTTCGGTCTATTGCCTTACCTCCATAACTAGCTACATTTGCACACACTGTATATATATTTTCTGTTGTATTTTTTGACTTTATGTTTTGTTTTACCCCATATGTAACTCTGTGTTGTTGTTTTTATCGCACTGCTTTGCTTTATCTTGGCCAGGTCGCAGTTGTAAATGAGAACTTGTTCTCAACTGGCTTACCTGGTTAAATAAAGGTGAAATAAATAAAATATAAAATATAAAACATCCTTCGGTGTCAGTTCCCCTCAAATCTGTTGACTTTAAATGAGTGTTACATGCGTCACGTCTAGACTATTCGCGCTACATTAGGGAAAGTCTTGAAAAGTTCTCTAATATCTTCCATCTTTTCCTCCAGATAACCTAGTCCTAGCCTTCTGTCTGTCCATGCTGGTGGGCCTCCTGATTGGAGCTCTGATCTACATCCTCCTTACATGGCTGTTGAGACGCAGAGCCTCCGCCCGGATTACCAGGCGCCCCAAACAGCAGCACCGCTCAGCCACCTCCCAGCACTCACACAACTTCATGGCCAGCCGCCTGGGCCTCTACCGGAACCCAGTGTTCGACCGGCGCAGCGACAACAGCCTAGGAGGAGGAGGTATTCTAAGTCTCTATAGACAGCCATCGGTGGAGCCGGTTGGGCCACTGGGGAAGAAGCCCAGCTCTGGAGCATCCACATTCCGACCAGTGCCCAAAGGCAGCAGGTTGGGTCAGGGTGACGGGGCAGAGGGTGACATTAACAACCAGGATACCTTGCCCCTTCATGACACTACTGCCACCAATTCATCAGCAGCAGATTCTGCCTCCCTCATGCCAGCTCAACCCCAACGGAACTCTTTCTGGTTGGGTAACAGCAGTCTTAAAGGATTCCTGCCCACACAGACTCCTCCTCCCACATATGACAGTGTCATCCATGCCTTTCAAGAGGCATGCACCTGATGATGTCACCATATGCCGCCTGGGAATACATAGGTTAAGTGATTATTACATTAGGGTTTACTGCTGGCAGTCTTTGGAAGAGACAGGGCCCTGTGTTTATGGAGAACTGTTCCGTTTTGGGTAAGGTGCCCTTTGGCCTTTTGGTCCACCGTCCATCCTACCTTCTATTCAGTCTACTAACTAAGAGAACTTCAAAAGATGGATTTAAATAAATAAATTGTGCTCTGATTGACCATACTATAGGCCATGTTTTTTATTAACTGTTTGTATCCTAATGGAATCTATGTGCAATAAGATTAAGGGGGATTGTCTAGAATGGCCCATATTTCTGTGATTTGTTAATAAAGTTCTTAATAAATGTTTTGTTATTATCCAGTCTAATGTGGTTTGTCTAGAACTCCATTCTATACATCTGATAGTTTATGTGATGTGTCTGAGATCAACATTGATATTTGATATTTAAATTTTTTATTTAATCAACAGATTTTTCTCTGCAAAAGCATGTTTTTGATTGCGTTCCAGGTCATCATTATTGGATTCACGCTGCGGATCTCAGAGGATCGCTACATCATTCATACTGGTGTTTCCTGAGATCTTTATAAACACCTCTCCAGGCTTTGTGAGAGCTGATGATCTGCACATCACGACTACAATTAAAAACGACCTGGAACGCGCCCAATGTAAACTACATGGCAACAGGGATTAAAGGAGCACCAAGCGTCAGCTGAAACAGTTTGGCAACCAATGATTTATATATACACTAGATGACCACTGGGGTCTCTATGTTGAAGCCGCCATACCCCCATCTTGGCACACCCTCACCGGCGTGAAAAATATTTTGGAAGCTATGGAAATGCATTTATTAATGTCTACATTCGTTTTTGCCACATTTATTATATTGCAGATACCTTAATGCATACTTTTAAATTATATTATGTGAGCTAAACATTAAAAAAGAAATGACAAAATATATTAAAACATTTTCATTCAAGTATAATTTGTAGAGCTTATTAATGTTACTGTCCCCACTACAACAACTAAAATACTTAAATACATGCAATTTTGTTCTGGAAACATTTAACTGAAATACTGTAGAATTCCATTCAATCCTATGGAGGACTGCTCCTACTGGGGAGTGCCAATACGGCCGACCGGTGGCTTTAATGCCTCCCAATGGCCAATACACGGCAACAGCTATCCAGGGTTGATATACATCACTGTTGGCAACGCGACTGCACCTTATCATTACAAGTATTTGGTGTACTGCACAGATCAAGGATATGACAGCGACCTTATATTTGATAAAGTGAGTTCTGCATCGTGGCTCTTTTGTCGTGTGTGTATGTGGCATGTATATTTTGTCAGTCTTGCGATTGGAATTGGTCAGATAAAGAAATACGAAAGAGGGAAATCATCCGTTTTATACAGGTTCCTCGAGATCTCCTCTGATTCCATCCAAACAAAAAGCGGTGGATGAGGGTGATGGATTTCATTTTCATGCATTATCTTAATTCACTATGACAACGCGATTTGATTGATTCATTGAGTATCCATCTTATTGTAAATATGGAAAATATAGCCGATGGATAGCCTACTGAACATATGTGTGTGTGTGTGTGTGTGTGTGTGTGTGTATATATAATATATATATATATATATATATATATATATATATGGTGGACTATTTCTTTCGCTTGCCATTAGGGCTTATTCTTTTTCCGTGTATTCTTTGAAATCTACAAGTTTAATTGAATCAGTATCATGTTAATGACGTAACAGACTGATCTCGGTACCTATGGAGACACGAACGCAAGAGTGTTCAGTTCAGAATGTTCAATACAGTTTTTCATAAAGACCATGATAGCTAGCCATTCCATTTAATAGCTAAGAGCAATATTCATTTCAAGGTTGATGCACTGAATGGACAAGGCAGTGATTTTCCTGTTTAAAGACTGCACCTATTCGATTGAATCTATAGGCTTATAGGCTATGGATATTCTTGGAATAAATTAATTGGCTTAAGCCTAATTCATTCTTAAACTTTAAAATGTTTCTTGACATGGAATAGTCATCATACTGCACTGCTCCATACTGTAGGTATTTTTTCAGACACTGATTGGAATCACATGAAGACACAGGCCTACATAATGGCCCTGTCATAGGCTACCAATCAGGATGGACATTTCAAGACCTGAGGCCCAAGCCATCTTGGTGTAGTAAACTGAATGCTGTGAGTCCTTTCATTTATATATTATTTTCTCTGTTCAGGGCATTAGGAATTATCTCGCTCTTCAGTGCACCATCTGAATGGAAACATGGACACCACCTACAGGGGAGGAATTGTAGTCAACAATGTCCAGGAACTGTGAGGTGAGTAACATGTGGGCAATTTTATTTCTATTCTATTCTATTCTACATGTCACATTACCTGGTCATATATAGCCTAGTAATATTGAGTTATGACCTGACTGTATTGGATGGTTTAATAAGCCTACCTCTTGGAGAAAGAACCTAAGCACTTTAGCCTACCTAATAATGGAAAACAAAAAAGAATCAAGCAAAGTCAGTCAATTAAACTATTTTTATTTATTTTATTTAAACAGGGAGTCCCATTGAGACCAAGGTCTCCTTTGCAAGGGAACCCTGCATAACAAGACCAGCAGCAATTACACATTAAAAGTTAGAGACACAAATGCTTTAATCAAGACGGGAACGTAGGAAACACAACAAAAAAAACACATACAAAAACGATTATAAAAAAGAAGAAAGACACCAACCTCCACTATCTTCTCCTCCTCTGCTTACCTCCTAGCCTGGTCACTCAGTAGGGATGTTGGCTGCTGTGGAACATGGTCCCATCCTCTGCAGCGACTCCAACATCCTCTGCCTCTCCTGGAAGGGCCGGGTCCCCAAGAGCGAGAAGGACAAGCCGGTGTGCCGGCGGCGCTACTATGAGGAGGGCTGGCTGGCCACGGGGAATGGAAGAGGGGTGGTGGGGGTAACGTTCACATCCAGCCACTGCAGGAGAGACAGGAACACCCCTCAGAGAATCAACTTCAACCTGCGAGGACACAACAGTGAGGTGAGTGGGCCGGCTTTGTCATTTTTGCGTTTTCAATATCTTATTAGGCAGAGAACTGGGCAACCATTAGAACATAATTTGATGTGTGTTAGTGTGAAGTATGTACAGTATGTAGATTTATATATGCATATTCAATATTTTCTCTGATACCGTCTGATAACTTTAAATTATTGTGTAGCTTCTAGGTCATACTGAGTATTTTTTGTCAGAGCTCACATCTGTGCTGACTGTACCATCAGAAACTGGGGTGGAGAAAATTCACTGTTTTGTTATTTTTCCCATCAGGACAGTGTAGGCCTATTTCATGTGGAATATTGAACTGTATTCCACATTCACATTCCTAGACAGCCCCCTGTGTTGGTGGAGTGGAATAGCAGTTGCATTGTGTTTTCTCTACAGGTTGTGTTGGTCCGTTGGAATGAGCCCTTTCAGAAGCTGGCCACGTGTGACATGGAGGGAGGCATCTTTGTTTGGATTCAATATGAGGGACGGTGGTCTGTGGAGTTAGTGAATGACCGCGGTGCCCAGGTAAGTTTGTACCTGCCCAGGTAAGTTTGACGTCATCAGCACACACACATTATCATTGATCATACAAAGGCACATTTCATAGGAAATGCACGATCATCATCATCATCAGAGTAATATATGAATTGATGGGTAGAATATTAGTTAAAGGATAAAAAAAATGTTAATATTTATTTGTATTTGTGAAAAGATCATGTATTGATGGATGTATGTTTACTCTTACCTCTCTCCTCTTATCTCTCTCCATCAGGTGAGTGACTTCACATGGTCTCATGACGGCACCCAGGCCCTGATCGCCTACCGTGATGGGTTTGTCCTAGTGGGGTCAGTCAGCGGACAGAGACACTGGTCCTCAGAGATTAACCTGGAGAGCCAGATCACCTGTGGCATCTGGACACCTGATGACCAACAGGTAAACCGCCTCAATCAATCAATACATCAAATGTATCAATAAAGCCTTTATGACACCTAAACAAAACATTGTTACATGTATTACACTTTTACAAACAGATATAGAAATACACATGATGTGTTTGGCATACATTATATTAAATAATCTGTTGGTTTCCAGGACACAGATGACGTCTAGTCCTGGACTAAAAAGCATGTTCAATGGACATTATTTCGTTCTTAGTCAAAGGCTTCATCTGCGTCCAGGAAACTGGCTCCATAAATGCGTTCTCTCATAAAAATGATTCCTGCCCACTGTACTTCAGGTGTTGTTCGGTACGGCTGATGGTCAGCTGATAGTGATGGACTGCCACGGTCGTATGCTCGCCCATGTCCTCTTGCATGAGTCAGATGGCATCGTCGGCATGTCCTGGAACTGTCCCTGTTTCCTGGTAGAGGACAGCACAGAGAGCGACACCGACTCTGATGACAATAACCCACCTCAAGGTAAGATCATGAATTAATGATTATGTAAGACAGTGTGCCTATTTAGATAATGTGAGCACTGATTATTTGGGCACAGATATCGACACTGACCATAATGACAATAACCCACCTCAAGGTAACACATTGTTTTAACGCTAAAACAAAGAACAAGGGAATCCCTGTCTTATACCTCTCTCTTTAATGTACCTCTAACGTATTTTGACCCCTACTGTGAACACTAGGATTGTGCACTATGATGGCGACAGTACATTGACCAGTAGGCTAACGTGTTTATTTCTCTCTCCCCTAGTACGTAACCTGAAGCCCCTTCTGACAGTCAGCTTCATATCAGGAGACATCAGTTTGATGAACAACTACGATGACCTCGCTCCTATCGTCATCCGCTCAGGACTCAAAGGTCATTACTTTATCCATCTTCTATGTGTGAGCGAACCAAATTCGTAAAGTGAAGCACTTTGCTGTCCGTGAGAGAAATAATGTACTAGGAAACCCACCGCTGTGTAATATAAAAGATACTCTACAGTATGAATGTGACTGGAGCCTCTCCTCTTCAGATGTGGAGGTCCAATGGTGTTCGCAGGGGGACCTCCTGGCAGTAGCTGGGATGGAGAGACATGGGCTCCCTGGAGTCCCCTCTGACTCTATCATGAGGAACGCCCTGGTCAAGTTCTACAACGTCCAAGGAGAACATATCTACACGTTAGAAACACCTGCCCAGGTGAGCTCCCCTCTGATTCCCTCCTCTGAAACGTTATAGTGTGATATTTACAAACTGGTTGTAATCTGTTTGCATGGCATAATTTCAACCAGTTTTTCCTTCTGGGTAGGTCCTCTAACACGTATAAGTCAAAGTCTATAGGTCATCTGAAATCTTCAATCAATACTAACAGGAATTAAACTTAATATGAAATGTAGTCTTGCCACACTTCCAAGTCTCGTTCAGTTCAGTCGGCTATGGAGAAAACCGGAAATCAAGGTTCCATAAAATGTGAATACAACATGGCTGACTGGGAACCTGCCTTGTCAACCTTTGCCTTGCAGCGCCCCATCACCACCATCTGCTGGGGCCACAGAGACTCTCGTCTGTTTCTGGCATGTGGCCCGGTGCTGTACGTGGTGCGTGTGGAGCACCGGGTGGCCAGCCTGCAGCTGCTGTGCCAACAGGGCATCGCCAGCGCCCTGCGAGAGGAGAGGGACGTGGGCAAACTCAACATGCCCTCCATACTCTGCTCCTACGTCACCACCGCCTTCATACCCACCATCAAGGTAGAAGGAGCTTTATTCAGTTGGCTACTGTAGGTTACTATCTCAGCTCAAAGACATCTGGACTTGGTTGTAACCCTTCAATGTTTGTAGATCTGTAAGGTGCAAGGGATATGCTGGAAGCTCCATCACTACCCTGATTATAACTATCCAGATTCTAAAGATCTAAAGAGCTAAGGGGCCAAGGGGAAGGAGTAGGGGCAGGGTGCGAATTGGGACCAACTGTTAATGCTCTTCTCTTGTTTCTCTAGCCTCCCATTCCTGATCCCAACAACATCCGGGACTTTGTCAGCTACCCCACGGCTGGCAACGAGAGGCTGCACTGCACCATGAAACGAGCGGAGGACAACCCTGAGGCAGGGGACCCGTACCCCTACCTGGACACCTAGTGCCATCTCACAACGCATCAAAGCTAGCCGATCACAGACAACGGACGCACAGGTGGGCTTGGCACAGGAAAGTTTTAAGAGTTTTAAAAAATGATGTAGTTAGCACAAACAGCTCATTTAGACGGAATTTGATCAAGGTGGCTACTATTGTTGTTCAGAAGTAAATGCAAGTCACCTGTTCAGGTTGAGTAAATATTTTCTTGTTGTTTGTAGTTGTTGTGTTTTATTCAGACGAGGTTGTGTGCTCATATCTCTATGACCTGTACTGTCGACTCAGCGACTGGTGGGATGAGTGGTCGGAAATCGCTCCTCCAGACGGTCGCATTCAGCTTTAAGTCTTAGAATGACGTTAAGCTTCCCATTTCACCTATCCTACCATTACCTGTGCTGATCATCTAAACAAAGCTCAGCTCGAATATGTATTTATCTTTGATTTTTCAGTGTGACGACAGGTTTATGAAAAAATTTCTTTTGCTTATTTGCCATGGTTTTGTTGTTTCTGGGTAGAAGACATGGAATTAGAAATCTCCAAGTCTAATAGTCAGGGGGCTGATCGCAAGGTTACCAACAAAAAGCCGTTCTCCAGGAAAGATCCATGGATGAATCTCTAGGTAATGTGTATGTGGACTAGTTTTAATGGGGAGGGGTGAAACTTCTGTTCGCTAGTATTTGACTTCCACCCCGAAAGTAAATCAGTTAGTAGGTAGCACACATGAGATTGTCTGGTTATGAGCAGTTCATTGGATTATTTTGACCAATTGTACCCATCTGCCTCTATTGCTGTTTTAAGCATAATACCTGCTCAAGCACTCCAATGGGGGACAAGTTCAAAATGTGGGACTGCTTCTTCTTACTGTTAATCTGGGCAGTAGATCACCATTGGAAGAAAACATTACACATAATCACCATGCCAATTTGTGTTTACTTTTAATTTTACTTATGTGATGCAATTTCCTTTGCCATTTTCTTCAAATTTGACCAATTGTTTCTCTCAATTCAGTTATCTGACCATGTCCACTACACCAGGCAGATGACAATCACCTTCCGAGTTGCGGAGGCATACATGAGCTGCGGTCTTAACCCAACGTCTTGAGGTGAGGATACTTGCCAGGTTGATGATTAATTTGGATTCATGGATTTTCAGTTATTAGTACGATTTCATGAATTTGAGATTATTATATTTGGGGATCGTGTATGAGTTCGATCTGGTGTATGTGTGAATGACCTATGATCTCCTATCAACATGACTGACAGCTGTAACTGGTTTCCGACTCCAGCGACATTGAGTTGAGTGATGAGTGGGTCGGGGAAGAAAGTCGCCTAAACCTCTCCAGCTCAGAAACAGGTCTCCCAAGCATTCAAGGTATCCATGCCAACAGCAGCAGCAACAACAGATCAGCAGCACAGCACTGCACAACAGCCCACAACAGCGCTGCACACACACAGCAGCCAACACACACTTGCACAGCAGCAATCGCTCAGCAGCACCAACAGATGCAACTACAACACGAGCAAATGCATCAGCAGCAGCAACAAATGCAGCAGCAACAACAGCAGATCCGACAGCAGATTATAGAGATGAGACAACAACAGCAGCAGCTGCAGCAGCAGCATCAGCAGATACAACAACAACACCAACAGATGCAGAGGCAGCACCAACAAATGCAGCAGCAACTGAAGCTGCAGATCACCTTGCCCCCTCCGCCTACTGGCTACCCCACCATCTCCCTGCAGCAGTTTCAGGTACCCCACCCCAGTCCTGAGTCGGGGCCAGAAAGAGGACAGCAGGGGCATACTCAGAGCCATACTCTGGGCAGGCCAAGTCTACCGCGGTCCAGGCCTCCATCATTCATTGATGTAGACAGCATACGGTCTAGACCTCCTTCCTTCCTCGAAGCAGACACATCAAGATCTAGACCGCCGTCATTCATCGACATAGACACAATACGGACTAGACCTCCTTCTTTCATTGATGTAGATACCGGTACATTGCGGTCTAGACCTCCGTCTTTCCTCGATGCGGACTCCTCCCGATCCAGAACTCTTTCATTCATAGACACAGACACACTACGGTCTAGACCTCCTTCCTTCCTCGATGCAGAGACTTCCGTTGAGATCCAGATGAGGAAAGTGAACCCTCCACCGCCCTACCCAGGAACTGTAGTATCTGCAACCACCGTTACAACCTCCACCGCTCCTCAGACCCTCATCACCAACTGTGACAACCCCAACATCCTGGTTACAGCAGACCCGTGTCTGAAGAAAGACGAGTTCTCCCTCCACCCAGTTGGTCTCCAGTACCAGATGGGATACGAGAGAATCACGACCTTTGACAGCAGTGGGAATGTAGAGGAAGTGTGTCGCCCTCGCAGAAGACTCATACGCAACCAGAACGCCTACGCTGTTCAAGGCATGGGAGGTTCGGCCACACTTAAAGTCACCTCATCGTCTGAGAGTAAGAAAGTCCATCTTCCTTACAGCTCAGCGACTCTAAGCCGCCTCTCAGTGCCACGATACTCCATACCCAGCAGAGACCCGCCCCCCTACCCAGATCCAGCCAATCAGGTTAACATTAACACGACAACACTTCCTCCTCCCCAACGCATGGACAGTAGTCACATGATTCACGCTACGTTGCGGCGTGACAGGCGAGACGTGGAATCCCGCTTGAAGGTGTCCCAGATGGTTGACGCTTCAAGGACTCTACCGTCCAAGTCTAAGATCAACAGTGCTGCCCTAGCGCTCTCTTACCAGCAGAGGGTGCCTACAGCTCTGTATACCTGCACTCAGTGCAGCAGCAACAGCAGCAGCACCAGTGTCAGTGTTAGCGGTGGTGGTAGTAGCAGCAGTGGCATCGCAGGAGGCACTGTGGTGCGGCAGGATTTCCCACCAGGAAAAGGTGCTCATCACAGCACCATCATTGTCCACTCCAAAAGTACTTCGCCTCTAGCTTCTCAGTCGTCGTACAATCTGCTGAGTCCTGTTGATAACAGCAGGGATAGGACGGTGTACGTGAACTCTGCCTTTACTGAAGACGAGACATTAAGTCAGCAGTGTCGTCACTTGACTCTTGGGGAGGTTAGTTTGACTCTGAAACGTCCTCCACCATACCAGTGGGACCCGAACACCGCAGAGGAGTTCTGGATACCTCAAGAACAGACTATCTTAGCTCCCCCTCCACCACCAACGCACAAACCACCACCCCCGCTCATCTTCAGCAATGCTCAGCACCTGGACATGACGCGGCTGCCTTTCCTACTCTCAACAAAACCTCCCAGCAGCCCAAGCACTGTTACTTTCCCATCAGGTTACCAGATCTCCCTGTCACCTTTCCCTCCAGGGGGAGGTCAGGGTGGACCCCCACTCCAGTCAATGCAGAGCCCTCCACCACCCTGCCCTCCCAACGAAGTAGTTGCCCCAGTCCCCCAGTTCACCCCACAGGACCCCAACCTGGTCTTGCCACCTGGATACCCTCCCAACCTTGCCAACCTGGCTTGCTGCCCTCTGCCCCCGATGTACCCAGGAGCCAGCTCCTGTGCCGGGCTTCAGCTGCACCCTGTTAGCCTGCACCCCTGGAACCCCTACAGCCTACCCATGCAGGACCCCTCAGGCTCTGCCACCCTCCCCATCAAGTCTCATCAGTTGTTAGAGAAGCCAGTCCTCTCCCCACCTCCTCCTACGGTTCCTCCTCCCCCACCTCCTTCACTTCCTCCTCCTCCTCCACCAACCGAGCTGCCAAAACCCAAAAGCCCTACAGAGGAGCTGGCGGAATCTGCCAGTAGCTTCCAGGAGCCGTCTTCTCTAAACGAAAGCCCTGTTCCAGACCGGCAGGGGTCCGACAGGTTCAGCAAGAAGAGTCGTAAACGTCTGGACAGCCGAGCTGAGGAGGCAAACATGACCACCGTCTCAGAGGGAAAATCCAAAAAGGAAGGGCGCGCCCTCTCCGACTTCAACTCCCTCATCTCCAGCCCCAGGCTGGGTGGCAGGGAGAAGAAGAAACCCAAAGGCCAGAGGGAGCAGCTGAACAAAACCAAGAAGCTGAACAGGACAAGTACCACCAGCGAGTTCCAGGACAGTTCGGAGAGTGAGCCCGAGCTCTTCATCAGCGGAGACGAACTGATGAACCAGAGCCAGAGCTCCAAGAAGGGCTGGAAGAGTAAGAGGAGCCTGAGGATGGCCAGCGAACTGGAGGAGATCAAGTGCAGGAAGGCCAATGAGAGAGAGGACCGCGGGCTGGGCAGCCAGGGATTCGTCTACGTCATGGCCAATAAGCAGCCACTGTGGAACGAGGCAACACAGGTCTACCAGCTGGACTTCGGAGGACGGGTCACTCAGGAGTCTGCTAAGAACTTTCAGATCGAGCTGGATGGCAGACAGGTAAGATTTTGCTTTTATTATTTACAGAAACATTGATGATTCGTTAATAACGGCACTTTTATATAAGTTAGAATGCTAAAATCAGTGTAGTATTGTGGTTGCTTTAAATATATGTTTAGGCTCCAGTCTCTCTGTAGACCTGGGTTCAGATTTCACCGCTGACACCAACTGTCACATTGACCTGTTTATGGCTGAGCTGAGTCAGTACTTATTGAGCTCCAGGCAAACAGATGCGATGCAAACAGGCCTTCCTCAAAGCTTTATTTCTGTTTCCCAGATTTTTTTCACCCTGTCTTTCTACAGGTGATGCAGTTTGGCAGAATCGATGGGAACGCCTATATCCTGGATTTCCAGTATCCTTTCTCAGCAGTGCAGGCCTTTGCTGTGGCCTTAGCCAATGTTACTCAAAGGCTGAAGTGAGAGACTGCTCTATCCCCGCACCACATACAGTACCAGTCAAAAGGTTGGACACACCTACTCATTCCAGAGTTTTTCTTTATTTTTACTATTTTCTACATAGTAGAATAATAGTGAAGATATCAAAACGATGAAATAAAACATATAGAATCATGTAGTAACCAAAAAAGTGTTAAACAAATCAAAATATATCAAACCAGGGGGTCTGTAGTGACGCCTCAAGCACTGAGATGCAGTGCCTTTGACCGCTGCGCCACTCGGGAGCCCATGGTCGAATTGCTGCAAAGAAACCACTACTAAAGTACACCAGTAATAAGAAGAGACTTGTTCGGGCCAAGAAACACGAGCAATGGATATTAGACCGGTGGAAATGTGTCCTTTGGTCTGATGAGTCCAAATTTGAGATTTTTGGTTCCAACCGCCGTGTCTTTGTGAGATGCAGAGTAGGTGAACGGATGATCTCCGCATGTGTGGTGCCCACCGTGAAGCATGGAGGAGGAGGTGTGATGGTGTGGGGGGTGCTTTGCTAGTGACACTGTCTGTGATTTATTTAGAATTCAAGGCACACTTAACCAGCATGGCTACCACAGCATTCTGCAGCGATACGCCCTCAGATCTGGTTTGCGGTTAGTGGGACTATCATTTGTTTTTCAACAGGACAATGACCCAACACACTTCCAGGCTGTGTAAGGACTATTTGACCAAGAAGGAGAGTGATGGAGTGTTGCATCAGATGACCTGGCCTCCACAATCACCCGACCTCAACCCAGTTGAGATGGTTTGGGATGAGTTGGACCGCAGAGTGAAGGAAAAGCAGCCACCAAGTGCTCAGCATATGTGGGAACTCCTTCAAGACTGTTGGAAAAGCATTCCAGGTGAAGCTGGTTGAGAGAATGCAAAGCTGTCTTCAAGGCAAAGGGTGGCTACTTTGAAAAATATAAAATATATTTTGATTTGTTTAACACTTTTTTGGTTACTGCATGATTCCATATATGTTATTTCATAGTTTTGATGTATTCACTATTATTCTACAACGTAGAAAATAGTAAAAATAAAGAAAACCCTTGAATGAGTAGGTGTGTCCAAACTTTTGACTGGTACTATATGTCATATATAATTATAATATTAATATGCCATTTAGCAGACGCTTTTATCCAAAGCGACTTACAGTCATGCATGCATACATTTTTGTGTATGGGTGGTCCCGGGGATCGAATCCACTACCTTGGCGTTACAAGCGCCGTGCTCTACCAGCTGAGCTACAGAGGACCACTCTGTTCCAACCTATTCTGGTGCGTAATGACAACATAATCAGAGATGATCCTCCTGGGTCCTGTAACATGGGACTGTCGATTTAGTGCTGTGCAAGGACAAGACGGTTGATGGGGCTATGAACAGTGGTGTAGTGGAGGGTAAACACAACGTAAACACCGGCTACGCACCTTTTTACTTTTGTGCAAGCTGAAAAATGCATTGAAAATATAGGGAGCGTTACTTTAGCGTTTACCCAACTATTTATTTTTTACCACTACATCACTGGCTATGAAATATACTTAGTAAGCCTCATATAAAAACGTTAAAGTAGGTAAGTTGCTCTTACTTACTGTATCTATGCTTCGGATTTAAAGACTGCCCTGTGGAGAAGTGCAATTTTAAAAGACCTGAATAAAGAAAAGAAAAAAGTGTTGAAATAATGCATTGTAAGAAAGGAGACCATATTGATTGTGGAAAGACAACAAGATGAGTTTGAAAGTATTAGAGTTTATTTAGAAGTTATTTAGAACATCACTTCTATGAAGTGATCCTATAGGAATATCCACATTTCCTTAAGTTGTACCATAATTTACATGCCATTATGTAAATGTTATTGTATGACCACATACTCCCGTACAACATAAATTGTAACACATTCATAAATAAATTGTAACACCTGTATATTATCAATGTTAGACCTAACTTTCTGCCAATCATCTCTTTTAGTAGACCCTATGAAAAATTAAAATTAACGCATGTGTAAATCATTATAAAAAAAAATTCAAATGCATGGATCACGTTATCTGGGGCAAAGTTTATACAGTAGAAATCCCACCTGCTGCCAGATCGGTCAACTCATGTTAAATCATACAACAACGACAAAAAAAGACAAGCTAACCTCTGAATTAATGTAACATTATGGTGTATAAGCTTGGTTGGCTCTGTGTTTTAGTCAGTCACTGGTGGTGTTTAAAGACGCTACTTGAACATTGCATTTGAATGTGAAGTGCTTTGCCTCCTTGGAGTTGCTGCTGCCATTTGATAGATAGAGATTGTCCGCATTATTGCTAATAGTGTGTCACATGGTATTAAAGACGTCAAAGTTATCATTTGTATATTTTATGATTTTAATTTGTTTTTGATTGACTGATTAATTTGTGAACATGTTCAGTAATTAACATGTCTGGTGCTGCTTTATTTGAAAGTATATCTGCAGGTTTATTTGAAAAGGTATTATAGACGAAGTTATGTGATGATTCAACTATTCAATGCTTAGCATTGTTACTCTACTGTGTCATACAGCAAGACTTCAATGTGTATTATTATCAATACAGACGGTGTGTGTGGTGTGGTCATTGTGTTATTGTCATCACCACCTAAATGAATATTATTGTATTGCCTAGATGGATTTTTCTCAATTTTTTTCAATTGAATACAATTATTTTTGTCCAGAATATATATCAAAAGATATATAATTAAAGATAGGTCTAACTGATGTCCAAACACTTAATAAAATGTATAACATTGAAAACACATATCTATGTCTATTCAGTGTGTGTGTGCGTGTGTGTGTGCGTGTGCGTGTATGTAGGGGGAGGGGTGGTGTAGGGGGAGGGGGGAGGGGGAAGGGGAAGGGGGAGGGGGGGGCGGGACGCGGGACTTACCAAACGTCACCAAGCCACCCCTACTCAAAATGTTACTTCACAACTTTCGATTTGACAGGGGTGTAATCATTAGTCCAAACAGTTACAAAACGTTGCGTTTTGCAACTAAAACGACAGTTTCTATTGGACAAATTCAGCTAGGTCTCTACACGCTTCCTTCCGTTTAAGAAACGTTTTGCAACAGTATAGGTGTAATGAATACACCCCAGGCCTCCTCTCTAGGCTCGCGTTTTGGCGAAGTTGTGACACATTTGGTTTCCCTAACTTTATGAAGCAGTGATCTATTCATGTAACAGGAATTTCAGTCTAAGCTTTTGTAACTTGAATAGCAATCCGGATCAGGAGGATAATCTATGAATGACAACAATATGGATTCTGATGAAGTTCAACAAACAGGTTGGTGACATTACATAGAAAAACGGCAATTTATATAATTCCAGCTAATAATAAAACATTGTTTCTCAATTCATCTCCTCAAGTGTCTAGTTTAAAATGTATTTAAAAAGTTTGTAGGCGAATTCAACGAATGAAAGTCCTACCACTACAGATATTAGAAATGAGCTACATTAAGGAATGCACTTGTTGGTTGCCTAAAAAAAGTTGTTACATTGTTAACATGTTTTCAGTCTTACTCTGACAGCAAGTATGTAATGAGTTAATTAAATGATTAATTATTTGTTAATGCCCAAATTGTATTTACTGTTTGTTTGATTGATTTACTCATTCATTCGTTCTGTAGATGGCAGCACATCAGAAGAATCAACAAGTAGTCCTAATCAAAGGATGACAAGAAATCAGATCCTCACATTGATATCAATCGCATCTGTCAACTTCAGCTCAATGATTTGTTACTCTATATTGGGACCATTCTTCCCCAAAGAGGTATTGTTCAATAGGCTACCAACCATTTTACTTCTTCATTGCTTGTGAGATATTGTTACAGGTTTTGGTTTTTCCGATGCATGTTTTGAGGTCGGACTTTAGCACGTAGGGCGCACCAATTGGTGTCTTCTTCTATTGTATATTGGCGATCACACAATATAGTAGGTGGCGGGATGGAAAGAGGATTACAGATTGGCGTCATCTCGTTAGTCAGTATGTGTTACACCTGTGCTGGTTGCCATCTCGTTAGTGGGAAGGTGTTTCACCTGTGCTGGCCCAGGTGCTATTTAATAGTGGCTGGTACAGTGCTCCAATTGTCTTGAGAGATGTGGAGGGTCAACACCTTTAGTTGGCGCTCCCTATTTGATTTCTAGAAAAACAATAATTTATCTGATTTCGTTTTGCGCCACTTTTTTGGTTTGCTTCGCTTCATATCTTTAAGTTTGGTATGGGGTTTTTGCTTTTATTTGCCTCTTCTTGGGCAAACTTAGAAGGCGTTAATGGTGGGTGTCTTTTAGGTTCCAGTTGTTGTTTCTAGTCAACTTGCAGTGGACACGCCCACGAGTGTCTTTCAGAACCCCTCCTAAAACCCTACCTGTTTTGGTTGTCAGCGACTCTTTGTTAGTTCCCCCTTCTGTTTGCCTTTTTTGGTTTTCTTGCTGCGGAACGTAACAATATACTAAACAGAGTTTATGCAGAATCATGATTTCTTTATTCAGATTATAAAATAAATTGGCACATGTTGAAAAATTACTAAATTAATGTTTAGGAGTGCCATAGTAAAGTACACTTCATTTTATTGGTTGGCTGTAAGATACCAGTTCAGACTAGATGTCATGACTGACATGTGGTTGTATTTGTATAATGTGTTGGACACGAAAAGCCCCTAAACCTTAGGGCAATGATGTGTCATACAATGGATACTCAGTCACATCAACACATGCAAACATCAAAGCAGAAACTCGCTCCTGCAGGTTCATGCTCTACAACAGGGCTCTCCAACCCTGTTCATGGAGAGCTAAACCTCCTGTAGGTTTTCGCAACAACCCCAGTTGTAACTAACCTGATTCAGCTCATCAACCAGCTAATTATTAGAATCAGGTGCGCTAGTGACACAGGTCCTAATCCAGGCACTTCTCCTGTCTGGACTACTGCAACTCTCTGTTGGCTGGGCTCCACGCTTGTGCCATCAAAACCCTGCAACTTATCCAGAACGCCGCTGCCCGCCTGGTGTTCAACCTTCCCAAGTCATCCCAGTCCTCCGCGCACTCCGCTGGCTTCCAGTCGAATTTCATAGCCACTACAAGACCATGGTGCTTGCCTACGGAGCAGCAAGGGGAACTACTTTCAGGCTATGCTCAAAGCCTGAACCCCAACCTGAGCTCTCCGTTCTGCCACCTCTGGTCTCTTGGTCCCCCCAACCCTACGGGAGGTTAACTCCCGCTCAGCCCAGTCAAAGCTCTTCTCTGTCCTGGCACCCCGATGGTGGAATGAACTTCCCCCTGATGCTAGGACAGCGGAGTCCCTGCCCCATCTGAAATCCTTCCTCTCCAAAGAGCATCTTAAATAATATTTGTTTCCCTTCTAGCACTGACTTTGATAGTACGTACATTTTCCTCAATGAAGTAGCTATGATTCAGATATGTTTTTGTCCCACCTAGCTATTTTAAGATGAATGCACTAAGTGGCTCTGGATAACTATAATATAATGTATATGTCAGATAGGCTGTCCTGTGGACATATGCATTTGAGTGACCAGAGTCTCTTGTGACTGACTGAAATCTCTGTTATAAGCCCTAAGCTATATTATGGTGTAAACATTTTTTTTAAATAAAGTCACGACCACTGATATACCTGTGGAAAAGTGTCATAAACGAAGAAAAAAAAACAGTGATTTTCAAACACTGAGATTCGTGGGGAGCAAGAAATACCCTCCCTCTGGCTCGAAGCTCGTTGCAGTTTTTGAAAATCATTTTTTTAGGACCTACTTATCGTTTTAACCACAGATCATAGAAATGCGCTGTTTTCACACATGTAGACTGGAGATAATGAATATGAGGTTGAAAAGTGGCGAAATTGCTCTTTTTAAGATCATAGTTGATCTAATTGCTAAAGATGATCTATATGCTTTTGGGAAACTCAACCTATAGATGAGTGAACGTTGCTGACCTAAACAGCACTGAGTCATGACTATGATATAAAGTCAGCTGTTGTGACTGTTTTCCAAAGTATTTTGTTTACGTGCCTTCGCTTTCCAAAAGGAAAACGACATCTTGTACACAATCATAACTGAAGCTTTTTCACCAAGCTTTTTTTGTGTTTTGCAGTGTCTGTATGTTTGATGTTGTAATGTATTGATAGATACAGGATATTTACTGTATGTATATTGTCTCTATACAGGCCATGGAAAAAGGAGCCAGTCAGACGGTCATTGGCCTTATATTTGGCTGCTATGCTCTGTGTAATCTGATGGGCTCCTTAGTAATGGGTAAATATGTAAGTATTTGGAATAACTAGGCTATAGTGCCTTAAGAAAGTATTCATACCTCTTGACTTCTTCCACATTTTTGTTGTATTACAACCTGAATTCAAAATGTATTAAATATATATTTTTTACTCTCACGCATCTACACACAATACCCCATAATGACAAAGTCAAAACGTGTTTTTAGAAATGTTTGCAAATTTATTGAAAATGAAATACAGAAAAATCTCATTTACATAAGTATTCACACCCCTGAGTCAATACATGTTAGAATCACCTTTAGCAGTGATCTTAGCTGTGAGTCTTTCTGAGTACCTCTCTAATAAGAGCTTTCCACACCTGGATTGTACAATATTTGTACATTATTCTTTTTTAAATTCTTCAAGCTCTGTCAAGTAGGTTGTTGATCATTGCTAAACAGCCATTTTCAAGTCTTGCCATAGATTTTCAAGCTGATTTAAGTCTAAACTCGGTAACTAGGCCATTCAGGAACATTCCGTGTCATCTTGGGAAGCAACTCCAGTGTATATTTGTTTTGTGTTTTAGGTTATTGTCCTACTGAAAGATGAATTTGCCTCCCAGCACCCACTGATAAATCACAATTTTATATATTATTTTGTTTAATGGAGAAGAAGATTTGCCCCAAACATAACACTTTCTATTCAGGACATAAAGTTAATTTCTTTGCCAAACTTTTTGCTGTTTTACTTAAGTGCCTAATTGCTTTCAGGTTGTATGTTTTTGAATATTTTGTTTCTGTACAGGCTTCCTTCTTTTCACTCTGTCATTTAGGTTAGTATTGTGGAGTAACTACAATGTTGATCCATCCTGTTTTCTCCTATCACAGCCATTAAACTCTGTAACTGTTTTAAAGTCACCATTGGCCTCATGGTGAAACCCCTGAGTGGTTTCCTTCTTCTCCGGCAACTGAGTTAGGTAGGATGCCTGTATCTTTGTAGTGACTGGGTGTATTGATACACCATCCAAAGTGTAATTAATAACTTCACCATGGCCTCTCGAGTGGCGCAGCGGTCTAAGACTGAGGCGTCACTACAGACCCGGGTTCGATCCCAGGCTGTGTCACAACCGGCCATGACCGGGAGTCCCATAGAACGGCGCACAATTGGCCCAGCATCATCCGGAGGGTTTGGCCGGGGGGCTTTACTTGGCTCATCGAGCTCTAGCGACTCCTAGTTGGACGGTGTTTCCTCCGACAGATTGGTGCGGCTGGGTTCCAGGTTAAGCGGGCAGGTGTTAAGAAGCGCGGTTTGGCGGGTCATGTTTGGGAGGACGCATGACTCGACCTTCGCCTCTCCTGAGCCCGTTGGGGAGTTGCAGCGATGACACAAGATCGCAATTGGATATCACAAAATTGGGGAGAAAATACAAACAAATATTTTTTTTTTAAAAAGTACATAACTTCACCATGCTCAAAGGGATATTCAATGTCTGCATTTTAAAGTTTTACTCATTGACCAATAGTTGCCCTTCTTTGCGAGGCATTAGAAAACCTCCCTGGTCTTTGTGGTTGAATCTGTGTTTGAAATTCACTGCTCGACTGCGGGACCTCCCAGATAGTTGTATGTGTGGGGTACAGATGAGGTAGTCATTCACAAATCATGTTTAACACTATTATTGCACACCAAGTCCATTTCTTCCTGCTGAATTTATTTAGGCTTGCCATAACAAAGGGGTTGAATACTTACTGACTCAAGACATTTCAGCTTTTCATTTTTAATTAATTAGTACAAATGTCTCAACATAATTCCACTTTGACATTATGGGGTATTATGTTTAGGCCAGTGACACACATTCTCAATTTAATCCATTTTAAATTCACATGTTTAGGCCAGTAACACAACAAAATGTGGAATAAGTCAAGGGGTGTGAATACTTTCACCCTGTTCCCTATGTAGTGCACTACTTTTGATCATGTAGCATAGGGCTCTGGTCAAAAGTAATGTACTTCATAGGGAATAGGGTGCCATTTGGAACGCATCCTACGTGTAGTCATCAGACTACTCTGCTTGCGATATGACTTTTCACAAACATAACACATGCTATATCTCTCCTTTCAGATTGTCCAGATCGGGGCAAAGTTCATGCTAATTTCAGGCTTATTTGTGTCGTCAGTGTGCACCATTCTCTTTGGGTGAGTGAGATGGATAGCGTTCTGCAAGCATCACATACTGTCTATTGTGATTAATGGCAGGTGACTACCTAAACAAATGAGTTAGTTATCCATCAACAGATTCCAGGCAAAGTGCTCATGGAAAGCACTTTTTTTAAGTGCCCTCCTAAAATGTTTCCTCAACATGGACATATACATATTTTAGTCTAATTATTTTCCTGTTCTTGTTTTGCAGCTTACTCGACAGAGTTCCTGACGGAGCTACTTTTATTGCTCTGTGCTTTATCATAAGGTCTGTTGATGCTGTGGGCTTCAGTGCTGCAATGACCTCTTCTTTCGCAGTTTCAACAAAAGTTTTCCCAAACAATATAGCAACTGTTCTGGTGAGTTTAGTCAGCCAACCCTTGTGTAAGAGTCTGTCTGGTATGTTATGTGACGGAATTAGACACCATGTTCAAACACAAAAGCATTATGGTTGAGGTTGTTAAAATGTTTTGTATCCCAAGAGTTATGCCCCATTCGTCTTGCGGCTGTCTGAAAGCATCTTTAGCAATGAGCATTGTGATAAGTTCCTCTATTTGGTCATAATAATAATATGATGATGATACAATTGGATTCTGTTCTGTTTGGAACTGGAACCCATACAAACAACATTCTTTCTTTTAAGGCAGATCCTTCTATTTAGTAAACAGAAGCCTGTGGGTACGAGGTTCAACTGCATGTGCACATTTACTATGTTGAATATTGTGTTGTGTTTGTCTTCTTAGGGTAGTCTGGAGATGTTTGCAGGGCTGGGTCTTATACTGGGACCACCAATAGGTGGATGGTTGTATCAGTCGTTTGGATACAAAGTTCCGTTCATGGCTCTGGGATGCTTTCTTATTCTCATGGTCCCCTTCAACATGTACATCTTACCAAGCTTTGGTAACGGTTTATTTATGGTTTATGAACTTTTAACTAATAGTTAGCCATCTATAAGATAGTTATGAATACATTACGTCCCCCCCTTTAAAGAAAAAGGTGTTAACTTAAAGTGTGTAAAGTGTTAAACATTTAGTTATCTGAGTGTAAAAGATACATGTTGAGTCAAATGTTTTCTCTCTTTGTCATTATGAAATGATTCCTGTGATAATGTTTCTTGTTATTACAGTGAGGGGAAAAAAGTATTTGATCCCCTGCTGATTTTGTACGTTTGCCCACTGACAAGGAAATGATCAGTCTATAATTTTAATGGTAGGTTTATTTGAACAGTGAGAGACAGAATAACAACAACAAAATCCAGAAAAACGCATGTAAAAAATGTTATAAATTGACTTGCATTTTAATGAGGGAAATAAGTATTTGACCCCCTCTCAATCAGAAAGATTTCTGGCTCCCAGGTGTCTTTTATACAGGTAACGAGCTGAGATTAGGAGCACACTCTTAAAGGGAGTGCTCCTAATCTCAGCTTGTTACCTGTATAAAAGAAACCTGTCCACAGAAGCAATCAATCAATCAGATTCCAAACTCTCCACCATGGCCAAGACCAAAGAGCTCTCCAAGGATGTCAGGGACAAGATTGTAGACCTACACAAGGCTGGAATGGGCTACAAGACCATCGCCAAGCAGCTTAGTGAGAAGGTGACAACAGTTGGTGCGATTATTTGCAAATGGAAGAAACACAAAATAATTGTCAATCTCCCTCGGCCTGGGGCTCCATGCAAGATCTCACCTCGTGGAGTTGCAATGATCATGAGAATGGTGAGGAATCAGCCCAGAACTACACGGGAGGATCTTGTCAATGATCTCAAGGCAGCTGGGACCATAGTCACCAAGAAAACAATTGGTAACACACTACGCCGTGAAGGACTGAAATCCTGCAGCGCCCGCAAGGTCCCCCTGCTCAAGAAAGCACATATACAGAGCCATCTGAAGTTTGCCAATGAACATCTGAATGATTCAGAGGAGAACTGGGTGAAAGTGTTGTGGTCAGATGAGACCAAAATCGAGCTCTTTGGCATCAACTCAACTCGCTGTGTTTGGAGGAGGAGGAATGCTGCCTATGACCTCAAGAACACCATCCCCACCGTCAAACATGGAGGTGGAAACATTATGCTTTGGGGGTGTTTTTCTGCTAAGGGGACAGGACAACTTCACCGCATCAAAGGGACGATGGACGGGGCCATGTACCGTCAAATCTTGGGTGAGAACCTCCTTCCCTCAGCCAGGGCATTGAAAATGGGTCGTGGATGGGTATTACAGCATGACAATGACCAAAACACACGGCCAAGGCAACAAAGGAGTGGCTCAAGAAGAAGCACATTAAGGTCCTGGAGTGGCCTAGCCAGTCTCCAGACCTTAATCCCATAGAAAATCTGTGGAGGGAGCTGAAGGTTCGAGTTGCCAAACTTCAGCCTCAACCTTAATGACTTGGAGAAGATCTGCAAAGAGGAGTGGAACAAAATCCCTCCTGAGATGTATGCAAACCTGGTGGCCAACTACAAGAAACGTCTGACCTCTGTGATTGCCAACAAGGTTTTTGCCACCAAGTACTAAGTCATGTTTTGCAGAGGGGTCAAATACTTATTTCCCTCGTTAAAATGCAAATCAATTTATAACATTTTTGACATGCGTTTTTCTGGATTTTGTTGTTGTTATTCTGTCTCTCACTGTTCAAATAAACCTACCATTAAAATTATAGACTGATCATGTCTTTGTCAGTGGGAAAACGTACAAAATCAGCAGGGGATCAAATCCTTTTTTCCCTCACTGTATATTACCCTGCTTGCTCCTCTGTTCAGCTGCTGATCCTACCAAGGACTCCTTCTTCAGGCTGTTCACGCATCTGAAGATAGTCCTCATATGCTTTGCCATATTCACCCTGAGCTCTGGACTCGGCTTTCTGGATGCAACCTTGTCCATATATGCAATTGATACGGTAAAGCCAAGCATACACCAGGGTTGAGGTGAATTCCATTTCAATTCAGTTTACTTCCTGAATGGACTGAAATTCAATTTACACCCAACCCTAGTATACTTTAAAGCTTCATATTTGAGAATATATTTGTCACATTTCAAAATATGATGGTTATGTCCAGTAGGACGAACCTCAGTAACTTAACCTATCTCTTTTGTTTCTCTATGTAGTTTGACCTGTCTCCAGGTTATGTGGGTCTTCTCTTCCTTGGTCTGTCGTTGCCTTACTGTCTGGCCTCACCTCTGCTTGGTATCATCAGTGACAGGTTTCCTGTCAGTACAGTTAACCCAACACTATACTATACTACACTATACAACACTATAATATACAACACTATACTACACTACATTGTTGGTTTGTTGGTTAACGGCTGCATTGTTGGTTAAGGGCTTGTAAGTAAGCATTTCACGGTAAGGTCTACACCTGTTTTATTCAGCGCATGTGACAAATAACGTTTTATTTGATTTACACTCTACAACACTATATAACACTACACTATACTATACAGCACTATAGTATACTATACAGCACTATACTATACAACACTATGCTACACAACACTATGCTAACAGTACACTGTACTATACAACACTACACAACACAACACTGCTATACTATATACCACAATACTATATTACACAATACTATATTCAACACAACACTATGCTACACGATACAGTACAACACTGTGCTATACTATACACCACAATACTATACTACACAATACTACACTTAAGTGATAATGCCGGAGAAGCCGGTGTTTGGAGGATATATTGGCAGGGGTGTTGTTTGTCGAGGGCCGGCAAACCGTGCCAATATATCCTCCAAACACCGGCTTCAAGGGCATTATCAATTTGTATACAACTGGTTACCAACATTTTCAAATAATGATTGACATATTTTAATTTAAAAAACGTTATTTTGATGAATTTATTCATACTATTTAATCCTTCCACAAGATATAGTCCCGACACAAATCTAGGGTTGCTACCCAAGCCGGCTGGTCGTTCGTTCTATCCGTTCGGTTGCTAGAGACGCGACTCAGTCGTTCAGTCTTTTTGTTGTGTATCTATGGACGTGACCCAGTCGTTTGTTCTAAATGTTCCATTGCCATATTTGCTGGCAACATTCTTATCCCTTGCTTGCCAGCTAGCCAACTACGGCAATTTACAGTCACTTCAAACAGTGCAGCCAGAATAACTGCAAAGTAGCCGCATTTGTTTAAACTGTTTTCTAGTGACATTTATCTGGATGCATCCAAAACAATGAGTTAATGAGGCGCGATTTCGCATGGCATAGAAAATGTGCTCTCTTGTTAGGACACTGTTGTTCAGAGGAGCTAGCCAACAACACAGCTAACACAATCACTTCAAACTGAAGCTGGAAAGACTGCAAACTAGCTGCACTTCGTTTCGTTTTACCTTTTTCAATTGACATTTCTTTGTTTATATCCTTAACAATGATGCCAGCTGATTCATGATTTCAACTGGCTGAGAAACGCTGCCTGCCTGTCTGTTTCGTCCCGACTCCCAACACGTACATTACTATGGGACAGCTGGAGATCGAATTTGAATATTGAAACAATGTTGCAAATGTTGGCGAGACAGATAGCAAGGTTTATACAAATCTCCGCGGTTGAAAACTAAATGTTAGTCTAAAAGAAATGTGAGATAATGTCTAGATGCTTTTTATAATGTAGATCAAGTTTATAACTTGCCTGGCAGGGCTGATGAGACAGTGGATTGTGCAATCAAATGGAACAGAGTAAATAGGCATTTTAATGTCGGTGGTAACTTGTGAAATAAACACCGGCAGGAATGTGGTTTTAACCAATCAGCATTCAGGATTAGACCCAACCATTGTATAATACACTATATACAACACCAACCAATACCAGTGGTGTATTGTAGACACAACTTCTCTTTTATACATATACTATAATGTGATTTTACCTTCTGGTTGTGTTTGCAGTACACTAGGTCGTGGTTCATGGTGCTAGGAGGCTTGTTTACAGCAACTGGCTTCTGGTTCTTAGGTCCTGTCCCCATTCTGCAGATACAGAGGTCAGCATCTGTTATTATCAGTGTGAAGTGTACTACTTGTCCTGCTATTACTACTAACAAGAAGCCAATGTGATACAATAATTATACTTTTTTTTTTGTCTCTGTAGGCAGATGTGGCTGGTGGTCTTCATGCTGGGTGTCATAGGATTCTCTCTTAGCATGACTGCCATCCCCACGTTCCCTGAAATACTTGAATGTGCATAGTGAGTTGACCATTTACGTACACACCATGGCACTTACGCACGCGCACATATACAAATATACTGTATTTATAATGTCCATTTTGACTTAGAAGAATCGGTATCATCATCATGCAAGAGGTACAGAATGCAAAATAATATTTATAATTTTCCAATGGCAGTGAAATTGGATTTGAGGAGGGTCTGAGCACTCTTGGACTGGTGTCAGGATTGTTTGGAGCAGTGTGGTCCATTGGGTGTGTACTTGCAGTGTTATATTAAGTCTCTGAGGCGCAATTTGAGAGTTGGAGTTTGGAGATATGAATTCTAAACAAAAGTATGTTTTATTTGTTCAGGATGTTTTGTGGTCCAATGCTCGGTGGCTTCATCACACAACAGCTGAGCTTTGAGTGGGCTGCTTCTGTTCAAGGAGGCCTGGCCTTTCTAGCCGTATGTATAATAACAATATATGTATTTTATATAACAGTTTTCATTACAATGAGAATCTCAAAGACACTTTAAAAAAACAAATAAAGAAACCAGATATAGGGTTGTGGCAGTTCCTGCACGATGGTCTCCTACAGCTTCAGATGAATGGGCGAGGCAGTTCAGAAGGGCGGTTCAGAAGGGCAGTTCAAAAGGGCAGTTTGTGTATTCTATTATGCACACTTGAATACTGTCAGTCCTGCCTCGACACTCCTGACTCCTGACCCCTATAAATGGGTAACTCAAATGTCTGTGCTAAATTGCTTACTTGGACATCAACACATTGTTTATGCTAGTTAGTAAGAGTAATTTAGGTCACATGGATTATTATTACAGTTGAAGTCGGAAGTTTAGATACACCTTAGCCAAATACATTTAAACTCAGTTTTTCACAATTCCTGACATTTAATCCTAGTAAAAATTCCCTGTTTTAGGTCAGTTAGGATCACAACTTTATTTTAAGAATGTGAAATGTCAGAATAATAGTAGAGAATTATTTATTTCAGCTTTTATTTCTTTAATCACATTCCCAGTTGGTCAGAAGTTTACATACACTCAATTAGTATTTGGTAGCATTACCTTTAAATTGTTTAACTTGGGTCAAACATTTCGGGTAGCCTTCGACAAGCTTCCCACAATAAGTTGGGTGAATTTTGGCCCATTCCTCCTGACAGAGCTGGTGTAACTGAGTCAGGTTTGTAGGCCTCCTTGCTCGCACATGCTTTTTCAGTTCTGCCTACACATTTTCTATAGGATTGAGGTCAGGGCTTTGTGATGGCCACTCCAATACCTTGACTTTGTTGTCCTTAAGCCATTTTGCCACAACTTTGGGAGTATGCTTGGGGTCATTGTCCATTTGGGAGACCCATTTGCGACCAAGCTTTAACTTCCTTACTGATGTCTTGAGATGTTGCTTCAATATATCCACATAATTTTCTTTCCTCATGATGCCATCTATTTTGTGAAGTGCACCAGTCCCTCCTGCAGCAAAGCACCCCCACAGCATGATGCTGCCACCCCCGTGCTTCACGGTTGGGATGGTGTTCTTCGGCTTGCAAGCCACCCCCTTTTTCCTCCAAACATAACGATGGTCATTATGGCCAAACAGTTCTATTTTTGTTTCATCAGACCAGAGGACATTTCTCCAAAAGGTACGATCTTTGTCCCCATGTGCAGTTGCAAACCGTAGTCTGGCTTTTTTATGGCGGTTTTGGAGCAGTGGCTTCTTCCTTGCTGAGCGGTCTTTCAGGTTATGTCGATATAGGACTCGTTTTACTGTGGATATAGATACCTTTGTACCTGTTTCCTCCAGCATCTCTCACAAGGTCCTTTGCTGTTCTGGGATTGATTTGCACTTTTCGCACCAAAGTACGTTCATCTCTAGGAGACAGAATGCGTCTCCTTCCTGAGCAGTATGACAGCTGCGTGGTCCTATGGTGTTTATACTTGCGTACTATTGTTTGTACAGATGAACGTGGTACCTTCAGGCATTTGAAAATTGCTCCCAAGGATGAACCAAACTTGTGGAGGTCTACAATTCTTTTTTCTGAGGTCTTGGCTGATTTTCTTTTGATTTCCCCATGATGTCAAGCAAAGAGGCACTGAGTTTGAAGGTAGGCCTTGAAATACATCCATAGGTACACCTCCAATTGACTCAAATGATGTCAATTAGCCTGTTAGAAGCTTCTAAAGCCATGACATCATTTTCTGGAATTTTTCCAAGCTGTTTAAAGGCACAGTCAACTTAGTGTATGTAAACTTCTGACCCACTGGAATTGTGATACAGTGAATTATAAGTGAAATAATATGTCTGTAAACAATTGTTGGAAAAATTACTTGTCATGCACAAAGTAGATGTCCTAACCGACTTGCCAAAATGATAGTTTGTTAACAAGACATTTGTGGAGTGGTTGAAAAACGAGTTTTAATGACTCCAACCTAAGTGTATGTAAACTTCCGACTTCAACTGTATATATTTTTTTATATATATTTTTTTTTCCCACTGTGCTGTCTGAATATGACTGTTTCCTCTTCTCAGGCTTTCTTTCTTGGTGTATATTTTCTCTGTCAAAGAACACGACAAGAAAGGTAATGATTCTGTTTATTTACATAAACAAGTAGAAAATAACTGTTGAGAAAGCCATTTGAAAAGAGTAACAGGTTCGGAGAAATTGGTATTTGTGCCTGAATTTGCTTTTATTTGTTTGGACCTAAAGGGCTCCTCAGATCCAGGGGACAAGACCTTCAGATGAAAGTACCCATCTTCTGACCTGAACAACGATCATCTACCAGGAACAATAATTTAAAAAATTCTGCTGTGAGAAACTGGTCAAATTAAAATCCTACACCTGTAAATGTACATAGGTGATAAATGTAAATGTAATTAAAATGTAAAACTAAGAGGATGATACTACACAGGTTCTCATTTGTTGTCATAGCATTAGCAATCTTAACAGAAGCAGTTCAGTTTGCATTATGCCAATACCATATAAGACCTGTGCATATAATGACTTGAACTGTCAAGGACCTCAACAAGCCGTGGTAAAGCTTTGGAACTATTTGAAATAGCTTTTAGCAAACTATTTTAAAACACCATTTACTTCGGAACAGGTGAATACTTCACAAAATAATGTTTACATGACGATAATCAAAGAGCATTTAATCAGTTGGCTGTTAAATATGTACCCATTGAAATCCAGTACTATCTAAATTCCTCTCATTCTCCAATCTCCACAGCACCTGACATGGATTATGTCTGAACAGTGGGGTCAGAACACCATGTATGGAGTGATTCCGTGCCAACAAAAACTTTATTTGAATTCCATAATATTGAATTTGAATTCAAGATTTTTGAATTTGTAACACACAAATGTAATTACATTTACGTAATTTAGCAGACGCTCTTATCCAGAGCGACTTACATGAGCAATTAGGGTTAAGTGCCTTGCTCAAGGGCACATCGACAGATTTTTCACCTAGTCGGCTCAGGGATTAGAACTAGCGACCTTTCGTTTACTGGCACAACGCTCTTAACCGCTAAGCTACCTGCCGCCCATTGAATTCATAAAGGGCCCGATTCCGACTTAGGATATTACGCCTTTCAAATGCACTTCTCAGTAGTTGGTATTCAGACTTACTTTATGAAGGTGGTAAAGGGCTTTGCAGGAGTGGTTCGCTTGAGTGTGCTGAACTAATGTAATTCAACCGCTGAAAACCCTACCACCTGCTGGCCAACAGATTTTGGGTGGAATTTTCATTCAATAGGGTTTTCAGTACATTTATCTTAAGCCATCCCTTTAAATATGGTGTACTTTTACTATAGAATTTTGTGGACAGACTACAGAGTACATGGAGAGAATGGGTTCAGAATATATGGATCAATGAAAGAATGCTATCTACAGTATGCATCTTCCTCTCAGTTTCAGCACCAACTGGTAGATTTATAAATACTCTGATCTTGTAGATTATTTAGGCAAATTTTAGGGTTAGTAAAGTATGTATGAATCATAAAAAAGTAACTGGTTTGGAGAGCCTATGGTAATATTTTATGTATCATTAAGGAAAATGTTGGGAAATGTCAAAAGTAAAATATAGGAAACATGACTGACATTCTATAATCCAGATGCATGTTTAAATAAGGAATATAGCCAATACAGTGTGTAAACATAAATTAATGTATGTATGTGTAATGAGATTAGGGAAAGGGTCTGCTACCAATATAATGAGATTAGGGAAAGGGTCTGCTACCAATATAATGAGATTAGGGAAGAGGCTTCCTATGGAAAAGCGCCCATGACCTTTTGGAGTAAGCCACATGTGACATCTGGACGTTGAAAGATAAGGGTAGTGTGGCACTAAAATAAGTTAATAATTTGCCCTAAGGGGAGTAATTGTATGCGATGTAAACATGACTGTGCATTTGTGTGTGTATATAAGAGATCTCTAAGCTAAAAAGAGACAGTTGCTCCATGGAGCAAGCTCGGCTTTGTTATGCAAATAATAAAAGTCTAATTTCTAAATTCACAAGTTACAGTCTCTTGAGAAATATTTTTAAGTTGACTACTTTTTGAGTCAAATATTTCCACGACAAGCCTTTATGCACAAAGTATATTGATGAATAAAAAAGTGGTTTGATTCATCCTGAAAGTTGTCATGTTCAAGTTCAAGCCATGAAATATTGGAAGGTGGAAAAAAGTGTAAATAGGGGTTAAACAATAGTCCTATAAATCTACCCTAATCATCACTAATCATGGAACTGTATGACAACAGTCCAGTCGTCGTGAACCGTGCGCCAGGTTCCAGGTTTAACCTGCTATGTGTGGTCTGAGTTCCATAATGATTCAAGTAGGCTACATGGCCCAAATTATTGCATAATATTAGCCTAATATGATCCACTAATCAGGGGCCCCTCACATTCTGAAATTGCATTTTTGTCCACCCCAGTTTTATCATTGGACTGTGATACAAAAAACGTGGCAACGGTATGCTTTTGGACCATGCGGACGCCTCCGAGTGTTTATCCAACTGGATATATATATTTTTTTTTAGTTATGTCCCCCCCACTTCTAAAACCAAAGTTGCGCCCCTGCCACTAATGCTAGCGACCCTCAGGAACAATTTACACGGACACGACAGAGGAAAGAAAGGTCAACTGAATGGAATTGATAACTGTAAGCTACAAATTGAAGGAAACTAAAGTGACAGTTTTAAATATATGTGGGTCTGACAGTGGCTCCGGATAGTGGCTAGTATTTAACATGATACAAATTGTAAAATAAAATGGAGAAAAGCCTATAGGCTATAATTAAAACATTTTAAAGCACATACATCAACTCAGCAGGTTCAGCCCTACAGAAGCCTTTAGCTTGGGTGTCCAAATGTCATCCATTCAAATTATAAGGGCACACAATTAAAATTCTGAATAACAGCACAGCTGTTTATAGCCCATTTCACTGTGGAAAAGGGTCCACAATACACGTCATGTTGATATGATTTTCAGTTTGCTTCGATATGGCTGGTTTCACATTCTCCTCCAGGGATCATAAAGAACAATTATCCAAAACAATTGCTATGTGTATTTACAATCCCCTTCTCCAAACGGATTACTCATTTACCTAGAGCTCTTATCCATTTATAAATTACAGTGCATGGAGAATGCTGTTATTTCAAAAAAATAAAGTAGATTATTTTTCTACTTGGAACCGGCAGGTTTGCTTGACCTTATTTATCGTTTCCTCGTGCATAAAGGTGGTGGGATTATGAGGGAATTAAGTGAAGGTCAGAATAGGTTTTATCTGTAGACACACCTCCTCCACACCTTCATTTCTTAGATCTCCACCCTGAACCAACAGAGGGTGAATAACATGCTATTCTCATGATTAAAGTCAAGGTCAGAATATGCAGAGAAGTGCATAACAAGGGAATAATGTTCCATTTACACGCACTTCATTCAGGTCGGAATCGGTGCCAAATTGAACTTGTATTTAATTATTTGAAACTGAATTGAATGAATATTGCATTCAGTTTTAAAATTCAATTTTCAATTTAAATGAATATTCAAATTCAATATGATAGATATTGCATTCATTGTCTGTGTATCAACTTTACAAACCATAATTTCAAGTTTACCAAAGTTTCATATATTCAACTTCTCAGGTGCATTCAGATTCTGTTTTCAAATTCAGTTCTCTAAATTCAGATTCAAAACAAAATACTGGTACTTTGCCAGGCAGGAAAGGTAGATGAGAACATATAGTATCAAACTCTTTGTGGCAAACAGGACCTACAGTAGAGATACCAATGGAGCCGTTTCTGGCGGTTTTCTGAAGCCAATGTGGCATGTTTAATTTGTTTCTTCCTATGAATTTGGCTCTAGCATTTGAACCGTATGAACCGTAAAAAATAGCTTTAAGCTATTATGACCCCATTCCCAAGAAAGCTACGACTCATTAGAAGGGAGTGTGACAAATATAATGGCCGCTATAAGAATATAGTTGAATAACCCTGTGTAGCAGAGCCTGGGAGAGGCCACTGCCATGGACAAGAGCTAGGAGGGGTTTCAGGGTACAGAGGCTCAGTTCAAACTTGAGTTTTTATTACATAACTTCAAAACAGAAATGCTCAAGAAGAAGAAACTTAAAGTATAACCACAGTAACAAAAAGTTAGTCCTTAATTGTAACGATAACAAAGCGGCACCCCACCTCTGTTTTGGTAAAACTGATGGATGGGCCTGGATAAATGTAACCACTCTCATCCATATACAATGTTTGTTTACAATTACATTGTTTACAAACAATGGGGTAAAACAAGCATTATTTTAGGAATTCTTTACAAATGAAAAGCTGAAATGTCTTGAGTCAAAGTATTCAAACCGTTTTGTTATGGCATGCCTAAACATGTTTAGGATTAAAATTTTGATAAACATGTCACATAATAAGTTGCAACGACTCACTCTGTGTGCAATAATAATGTTTAACATGATTTTTGAATGACTACCTCATCTCTGTACCCCACACATACAAATGATCTGTATGGTCCCTCAGTCGAGCAGTGAATTTCACACACAGATTCAACCACAAAAGCCAGGGAGGTTTTCCAATGCCTCGCAAAGAAGGGCACTTATTGGTAGATGGGTTAAAAAATAAAAGCTGACATTGATTATCCCTTTGAGCATGGTGAAGTTATTAATTACACTTTGGATTGTGTATCAATACACCCAGTCACTACAAAGACACAGGCGACCTTCCTAACTCAGTTGCCGGAGAGGAAGGAAACCGCTCAGGGATTTCACCATGAGGCCAATGGTGATTTTAAAACAGGTTCCAGGTTCAGTCTGCTTTCCAACTATCACTGGGAGACAAATTCACCTATCAGCAGGACAATAACCTAAAACACAATGTCAAAGGGTGTGAATTCTTTCTGAAGGCACTGTACAATGCCCAGAGTACAGCAAACATACACTAGTTAGTCTCTAGTTAGTCACTAGCCTAGTTAGTACAAGTTATGTAATAAAAACCTACGTTTGAACTGTTTACTCTGTACCCTGAAACCCCTCCTAGCTCTGGTCCATGGCAGTGGCCTCTCCCAGGCTCTGCTACACAGGGCTATTCAACTATATTCTTATAGGGGCTAAATTGCTTCTTATTTTTTTGTCACATTCCCTTGTAATGTGTCTTGCGCAACCTGTGAGTATCATAGAGGGAAACAGGCACGTGCATGTTCCAGAGAGTGTAAGCTTTCAGAAATGGGGTCATAATAGCTTATAGCCAAAACAGTCAAATTCAACATGCCACATTGGCTTCAGAAAACCGCCAGAAACTGCTCCATTGGTACCTC